AGTAGTAACATACGAAAAGACAAAATGGGCAGTAAACACCTTTGAACCGTACAAAGCTCCGGGCCAAGATGGAGTGTTCCCCGCTCTCCTACAATGGGGCGGGGGGACACTGGTCCAGCACCTGGTCAACATCTTTCAGGCCTGTCTAGCATTCAGCTATGTGCCCTACAGCTGGCGAGAGGTAAAAGTCATATTTATACCGAAACCAGGTAAAAACGACTACACTGACGCGAAGTCCTTCAGACCAATCAGCCTCACATCGTTCTTTTTGAAAACATTAGAAAGGTTATGTGACAGAGAACTGAGGGATGGAGCGCTTAAGAACATACCACTACACGGAAACCAACATGCATACAGTCAAGGCAAATCCACTGAATCAGCCCTACATGCCGTTGTGGGCAAGATAGAAGTGGCCCTCAAAGACAAAGCAATCTGCCTAGGCACCTTTATCGACATTGAAGGAGCCTTCGACAAAACCAACTTCTCCAGCATTCAATCAGCACTGAGGAGGCATGAAGTGGATGAAGTGCTCATCAGCTGGATTAGCAACATGCTAAAATTAAGAACAATAAAAACGACAGCAAATATGACCCCATGGGCCATAGTAGCGAAGGGATGCCCTCAAGGAGGGGTACTGTCGCCTCTGCTGTGGAACATGGTCGTAAATGACCTCATCATTAAATTGAACAAAGAACATTTCTATACAGTAGGATATGCTGATGACATAGCTATACTGGTAACAGGAAATTATGCCAATGTACTCTGCGACATTACACAAGCTGCACTCCGGATTGTGGAAAGATGGTGCAGGGCATATGAACTATCGGTAAACCCAACAAAGACGGAACTAGTAATGTTTACAAACAAAAGACTACTGGGTAACTACCTACTACCCAAACTCTTCAGTACAGAACTACAGATATCAACCGAAGTCAAGTACTTGGGAGTAATACTGGACAACAAGTTGAATTGGAACAAGCATATGGACAACAAAATTAAAAAAGCCACTATCACCTTCTGGCAGTGCCATAGAATGGTAGGTAAACAATGGGGACTCTCACCCAAAATAACACTATGGCTCTACACAGCAGTGATAAGACCCATGATCAGTTACGGCGCGATAGTATGGTGGCCACGAACCAAGCTGACGACCGCAACCGACAAACTGGAAAAATTCCAAAGACTAGCTTGCATGGCAACGACCGGCTGCATGAGGACAACTCCGACTGCGGCCCTCGAAGCGATGCTGGACTTGCGACCCCTCCCAATGTTCATTAGACAGGAAGCGGCGTCAACAGCAGTGCGTCTTAACAGAGCCGGCCTTTGGAAGCACATGAGGACCCCACATACAGAAATCCTTTATAAGACAGTCAATGAGGAACCGCTACTGGAGGCGGCTGTGGATAGGATCCCAAAACAATACATCTTCGACAAAAAATACAAGATACAACTGTTTGAAGATCCAAATGAAGGACTGAACCCCAAAGAGGTCCGCGTCTTCACCGATGGATCTAAAACAAATTCAGGAACAGGTACTGGGGTATTCTCAGAAGACCTCAATATCAGGATATCAACACCGCTTGGTGACCACAACACAGTATTCCAGGCTGAATGCATGGGCATCAAGTTGGCGGCAGAAGCAATCATAGCGAGAAGAGTAAAGAACCACTCCATAAGAATACTCTCTGATAGTATGTCAGTACTTCAAGCACTGAACAGCTATGACATAAACTCAGGGCTCATTTATGAATGCCATCAAGCACTCATGGAGGTATGTATACAAAACCACTTAACTCTACAGTGGATTAAAGGACACAGCGGCTCACGGGGCAATGACGCAGCAGATGAACTAGCCAGAAAAGGGTCGGAGACGGACGCAGTAGGACCAGAACCCATAGTGTCCCTCCCCTACCAATGGTCCAGAACAACTATACACAAAGGTACAAAAACTTCACATAATAATACATGGACCACCCTTACGGTTTGTAGACAGGCGAGGGAAGCACTCCCAACGCTCAATGCCAGTCTATCACGAATATTAATTAAACTCAACAGGCAAGAGCTTCGCACTCTAACTGCCGCCCTAACAGGTCATGGTCCATACAATAAACACCTTTTCAATTTAGGTATCACAGACAGCCCTCTATGCAGAGCGTGCATGGAGGGGGAGGAAACGGCTGCGCACATCCTACTACAGTGCTCCGGCGTGGCCAACTACAGGGCAAAGTACCTTGGAGTGCCAAGGTCGCTCCCCGAAGTCTTCAGCAAACCGAGGAGGCTGCTGAGATTCCTGGAGGAGCTTGGGTGGCACGAGTAGGACCCTGCACCCACCACACGCAAAATAGGCGCCTTGTCGTCGAGTTGCGGACACCAGCCCGTTACACCAAGTACCAAGTACCAAGTACCAAGATCTAACCCACTGCCGTAATCATGTCGCGATCGGTTTACAGCATGCATCGCCGTGTTTGATTGATCAGTGAATAATTGCACTTTCATATTGATGACTTGATTTGTTGTGGTCACTTAGTTTTTATAAAAATGATTAATTTATTCAATAATACAAACAAACACACAAAAACAAAATATTAACAGTGAGAAAAAATATGCTGTTTATTTGTTGTGCCGAATGCAAATTTCTTACTGTGGAGAAGGACAAAAAACAATTACATCATTCTTTGACCATAATAACATTTCCAGTTATTATAAGTTAAAGCCAAGCACTTGATACCCACATTGTTATTTTGTTTCAATTTGATTTCATTAATTTGTTTGTTATCTAACTTATTCCAAGCCTTGATGCCAGATTTCACAAAAAAAAAAATGCTTACACATTTTATGTGTACACATTATAATTGAAGATAGTTCAAATCCATTGTGATGGGGATCCTTTAAATTGGTTGTCTGGCAATAACAAGTAGCACTTAAAATTTAACAAAGTTTGCAAGAGTTTATATGAAAAACTTGTCTTTTGAAGCTGGTCTCGTTTATGAAAATGAATAGAACCAACTTTTACCACTTAATGCAGAAAAACTGGTTTTCTTCCACCATAATTTGCCTTTATTTGAGTACTAAATTTACAGATAGCGTTATCTAACTTCAGAGTTCTTTCAGTTACAAGTAATAAACAAATTGTCAAAGATTCTGTAGTTGTTGTTTATCTTATTACTATCATCGTTAATCAATAAACCAATTTATTTGGCGTACTGATTATGAATTTATCTCAGTTTTAAACATCCAGCATCCAGCCGGAGAGAAAAAATAGGCTGGATACCGGATAGTTACCGGGTATCCATTTCATCTCTAGTAACTTAAGCCTTACCTCCGGCAGATACTCCTGATATAATGTTAGGTTGTTCAAGCTGCGGGAATTCTACATCAAGTTCTTTGGAACTCTTGCTTGTTCGGATTGTCCTTATGATACAGTCTTGAGCAGAAGTTTCCATTGCTTGATACTCAGGCAATGCTTTAGTCTGTATTGCTACAACATTAGCACTAACGGCCAAATATGGCCTCAGTAGCTGTACTATTTCACTGCTCATCACCAAGTTATAGTTCTTTACAGTACAAATGTATTTGTTAGACATTTTAAATTTAAACAACTGTAGATTCACTTCAGGAATCCAATCAATAAGCTCTAATCTGTGATGAGTTTGTGATTTTATGCACTGTGACAGATATTTTCCTTCCATTATTACAAATGTTTCTATCTCTTCAGGACTTTTCAGATCTTGAGACCATTTTAAACTGCAAGTAAATTTAGGTGAGTGCATAATGAGCTACATAGTTTGCAGATAGTGTGCTATTGTGTGAGTGTCATCTAATAAAAACGATTTAAACCAATGTATTACAAATGTACATATTTAGCTGTACTATAAAAAGGATATTGTGATGTGAAGAAACTTGTAAAAAATGGCTCATCAAAGATGAGTATGCAGAAACTTACTCTTTTGTTTTGTGTTGCGGATTGATTTCATCCCAGTCCTCCCATGCCGTGCGGCTTACAGGTTCAAGAATTTCTCCAAATGTTGAGCACATTTTTAAGTAATTTATTTTTATTAAAATAACAATAAAATCAAACTTCTTGACAAGTACCAAATACCTATTTCACAGATAACTGTAGACAGACCTATTTCTTTTTTTATTTTTTCTTTTTTTTTTATTTATTGCTGGCCATGGAAACAAAGACCTTCAGCCGAAAACATAAACGTTTAATTATATTTCTGTAAATATGGCCACCACAAAGAGGATAGGCAATTTGAGGCGGCCGATACGGGTATTTTAGTTCGAGATTCGTATAATTTCGCGTTTTAATCTTCGATTAAGGCACAATAGCACTATCCTATTCCACTTTAAACTAGATTTCACAAAATAATTGAAAGTCAAAATAAAAATTTCTTCTTCATCCAGTGTTGCCAGACTTTTGCGAAGTTAATTCGCCAATTTTTAAAATTCAAGGAAAATAATTTTACAATAATCCTGCTTGCTGCTGGAAATTGAATATGAACTTTCTTATTTCCCCAATTCTCCACACGTAGTAATACTCAAACCCCCAAGTGAGTTGTTTTACAACTCCATTCCCCACAAAATCCCCAATCAAGTTTGTAATTCCCCAGACAGTTTATTAAGTAGCCTAAAATCGCGTTTTCCTATTTCAAACATAGCCTAAATATCGTCGAGTCGCCGATCACTTTTTTAGTCGCCGCACGCACCGTCGAAGTAGCCTATTGGCGAAAAATTACCTAATCTAGCACCACTGTTCTCATGCATGCTGTGTAGGGATATGAAAAAGTATCGATACTTTTTGGTATCGAGTACTTTTCCTTCCGATACCGATACTTTTGTACTCGATACTTTTCAGGTAATAGTACTTTTTGACAAATATCACATCGGTTTAAATAATTCCTACCTCGGACACTATTACTTATTATTACTCATCTCAGTCAAATTAATTCATATCAGTAAAAAATGATCAATATACTGTATTTGAGATACATTCCGGAAAGTTTGTAATTAAATTTCTGGAAACTTTCTATTATTTCAGAAAATGTAAGAAATTTTTAGATATTTTCACGAAAATGCCATTCTCCGGTATTATTCCTCAATATCCCGAAATTATTCCAATGTCCCCGAATTACCAATTTGGTTTCACCGTGTGCCACAGTTCCGAGGTCAGTTTCTGCCTTCGTTTTCGGGCATTAATGAGTTTTAATCCGATTAAAATCGAATCTAGTATTACGTAGGTATAAGTTAGAGTATCTCAATAAATCCAGTTTTCTAGAATTCGTTCGACAACTGCACCGCGAAAAGCCAAAAGAAATAAAAAACGTGTAAGAACCATAGAGTTGTCATTGGTATTGTATCAAATTATAAATATATAGCTATACGTTTGTCATTGTACTCCTATTTAACCTTAATCGTACTTCTTTGATCCTTTCTTCCAAATTATTTTCCCTTTTCATTGTTTTCCGTGAATAACTCCCTGTTTTGCAGTGGCACAAACGCAAACCGCAAAGTGCCAGAAACAAAACAAAAAAAAAGAACGAATGAAGTGTCACTTTGACAGCATAGTGTTGTGCATAATCGTTTCCGTTATGTCATCGATTTCGTTAAATTAATATTTGTTATAAAATGTTAATAAGGAACAAATATTAAGGATAGTTTTTATAGGCTTGTATAAGTTCTTTGATTAAAATATTGTATGGCAAAGAAATTGCGTAAAAAACGTGATTTATTAAATATTTACTTATTAATCGATTAGCTCGATAAATAAAAAGTCGGAAAATGGCGGCTGTACTGCGTGGTGTGATTCTTTTCGCCAAACATAACATTCGTTCAGTACGATTAATCTGTGCAGTAAACTAGAATTTGATTATGTTAGGTGTATTTGTTTTAGAAAATATAAGGTATTTCCATTAGTTAGTCATGTTAAAGGTCAGTATATTCACTAGCAAAGTAGCAAACTAAGCGTTAATTATTTCGTGTCTCGGTATTAACATTAACCTAATATTTTCTAGGATAAAGGGCAAGTCACCTTTGAGGATAAATGGCCTTCTATGCGTCCCATCGTACTGAAATTGTTAAAGCAAGAGCCGGTAACACAAACAGAATGGCAAGATTTGTTCGGAGCAGTGCATTCTGTGTGCTTATGGGACGAGAGGGGACCCTACAAACTGAGAGACGAGCTGCAACATGACATAATGATGTATATTAAACAGGCGCAGGCACGGGTATTGGCACAGCGCGAAGATCAAGCATTGTTGAAGGCATATATCGCTGAATGGGGCAAATTCTTCACCCAGTGCAACTACCTGCCTACACCATTTCGACAGTTGGAGAACTCTATTAATAATATTAGTAAAGTAACAAGTACCAATTCATCAAATTCGCAAAAAAAGAACAATAATAACAACATAGAGGATAGTCTGGTGCGTAAATTGATGTTAGATTCATGGAATCAGAGCATATTTGTTGATATCAAACAAAGACTTCAAGATTCTGCAATGAAACTGGTGCAGGCTGAGAGGAATGGAGAATCTTTTGACTCGCAACTTGTTATTGGAGTTAGAGAATCGTATGGTGAGTCCTATGTCTAATGGTATTTTCAGGTTTTCTCAATACTTTTTTCTAAAATAATTTGTTAATATTAAGTTATATTTCAGTGAATTTATGCTCAAATTCAGTGGATAAGCTGCAAATCTATAGAGAGAATTTTGAAGCCGCCTACATGCAGGCAACAGAAGAGTTCTACAAATTGAAAGCAAATGAGCATTTGTTGGCTAATGGAGTTCAGTCATACATGAAGTATGCTGATCAAAGATTGAAAGAAGAGGAGGCTAGAGCTCATAGATATCTGGAGCCTGGTAGTGGCAGTGTGGCTGCTCTTACTCAGTGTTGTGAAAAAGTTCTCATTGGGGAACACCTTCCCACTCTACTAGCTGAAAGTGCACCTCTGATTAAAGCTGGTGAGACTGAAAAACTACAACTCATGTTTAGACTTCTAGACAGAGTGCCTGAAGGAGTTACACCAATATTAAGAGACTTGGAAGCACATATAGTCTCAGCCGGCTTAGCTGATATGGTAGCTTCAGCTGATATCATAACATCAGATTCAGAAAAATATGTGGAAAGATTGTTGGATCTGTTTAAGAAATTCAGTACTCTAGTAAAAGATGCTTTTATGGATGATCCACGATTCCTAACTGCCAGGGACAAAGCATACAAATGTGTAGTCAATGATACCACAGTTTTTAAATTGGAACTTCCCTCATCTGCTCTTCTTCGTGGTGGTAAGGGTACAGCTCCTGAAAGCAAATGTCCTGAACTTCTTGCTAATTACTGTGATATGTTGTTACGAAAGACTCCATTAAGTAAACGATTAACTACAGAGCAAATAGAATCCAGGCTGAAAGATGTATTGTTAGTTTTGAAGTACATTGAAAATAAGGATGTGTTCATGCGTTACCACAAAGCACATTTAACAAGAAGATTGATATTAGATTCCAGTGCTGATTCTGAAAAGGAGGAAGACATGGTAGAGTGGTTGCGCGAAGTTGGTATGCCTGCAGATTATGTAAACAAACTGGCACGCATGTTCCAAGACATCAAGGTCAGTGAAGATCTGAATACTCAGTTTAGAGCCGACACAACGAGACATGATGCCATTAATATTAAGATTCTGAATGCTGGAGCTTGGGCTAGAGGCTCAGAGAGAGTAACAGTTAGTCTTCCCTTAGAATTAGAAGACTATATTCCAGAGGTTGAAGAATTTTATAAGAAAAAACATTCAGGTCGTAAACTGCAATGGTACCACCATATGAGTAACGGAACTATAACTTTTGCTAACTCAGTTGGTAGATTTGACCTTGATGTCACTACTTTCCAAATGGCAGTCTTGTTTGCTTGGAATCAAAGGCCTATGGAGAAAGTTACATATGAGAACTTAAGACTTGCCACAGAACTCCCTGATCCCGAATTAAGGAGAACTTTATGGTCTCTAGTTGCTTTCCCTAAACTGAAAAGACAATTGTTATGCTATGGACCTCTTGTGCAGAATCCTAAAGATTTCACCGAAAACACTACATTTTGGGTGAACCAAGAATTTGCTCTTGTTAAAAACGGTAAGCCTCAACGTCGCGGGAAAATTAATTTGATTGGCAGGCTGCAGTTAAGTACTGAGCGCTCTCAAATGGAAGATAATCACTCTATTGTGCAATTAAGAATTTTGAGAACCCAAGAAGCGATTATAAAAATACTGAAGATGCGAAAACGCATTACCAACACTGCCCTGCAGGTAATTAAATTCCTTTTGTTTTTATCCAAGTAAGGCATAGGTTTCCCAAACATAGGCAAGATAAAAAAATTTCAGAAAAAAAAACGATAAAAATTATTTAGGTGTAGTCTTAGAATAATAACGCATAGAATGATAGTTTCATATCAAACGAACTGTCACAAGTGAGGCAAAAATCGAATTCATGTAGGCTAGTTTTAGTACCTAGTAGGTTAATTTTCGGTTTTAGTGAATATTTATATAAAAATACAATTGAAATGCGTTACTTCCTTGTGGAATGTGATGTTAGTGTCTATTTTATTTTTGCCTGTTCTGTTTTTACACCCATTTACCGCACATTTCGTCATTTTTAGCAAAAATTTTTGAGCTGTTCGTGGTGCAATTTGACCTTGAGCACTGACAGCCCGCCCGCTCGTGTAGGCCCTTTGGGAAGCCTCTAACTTGCCTTACTTAGCGTGCGCGGGCTAGGTTTCTATGCGTTATTATTCTAAGGGTGTAGTGTAATTAATTTATATAGATAATTCAGGTATATTTTTTCAAATGCAGTAGCATCCCCTGGACAGCATCAACTTTTTCAAATTGCTTCTGAAACCCTTACCGCCCTTTAGGACTCTTCAGTGCTGACTGGGAGAGAAATCAGTTACTACCTTGAATCATATTACGCCCCAGTATATGAGGGAAGGTTAAAACTTTCTTTACATGGACATCACTTTGTCGCTTTGATTGTCATCAATGCTAAAACCATTAATTACACTGCTGCTCAGTAGTTTTTTCTGCTGATATCTCTAATACTAAAAAACGAAATTTCACATGGTTTTGGGACATGAAAATTTACTTTATTTGTGTCACAATTATCTACAACTATTTGACATTAAATAGTACATTATTTTTCCAGTAAGGTACTTTAGAGGAGATTATCTAAAAACAGTATCCATGTAGATAATGTTGCCTCACATTATTGCGACAGCTTGTAGGTTTTGAATAGAAGAACAGCCCTCTTCTACATTCATTTTGATTATAGTGAGCTGCGCGAGCATGCCTGCGTGACTTCAGCCAATTCTCTGTTGGGCTAGTAGTGCCTTAGGTGAACTGCCCCGGGTGTACGACCAGCACCCGCCCTATTTTCCAGATAGGTACCGGAGTTGGTAGGCACGCTCACTTCCTTCCCGCGAACAATTTATATATATATGTATGTATGTATGTATACATGTATAATGTAAATTCCTTGCAGAGCGAACTTGTGGAGATATTGAAGAACATGTTCCTACCATCTAAGAAGATGATAAAGGAGCAGCTGGAATGGCTGATCGAACATAAGTACATGCGCCGTGACGATGAAGATATAAACACTTTTATATACATGGCCTAGAAGTTCTTCTCCACTGTTGTAAATGAAATGAACAAAATCAAATAAATTATTTACCGAAATATAAATTTTTCATTTTTAATTCGTCATAACTGAATTGTTGGAAATTCTAACTGCATTTCTGTCTATCTATGGTTGCCCGTATTCAATCGCATTTAATTAGCAGAATCACATGTTATTACACTAGTATAATATGACTATGCTTAGAATAAGTATGTAATTTTTGTTTTGTCTAAATACATGACGATTTTTACGTTTTAATATATTTGGACGCGGCTGTACTCAAACGTAATTGTCTTTTTTTTTAAATGAATCTGCTTTTTAATGTGCTAAGTCGTAAATTAAATTCTACACTAAAAGTTATTTTTAACCGACTTTAAAAAAGGAGGTTCTCAATTCGACTGTTTTTTTTATGTATGTTACTCGATAATTTGTGAACCGATTTGACGATTATTTTTTGTTGGAAAGAGGGTACCTAAGATGTGGTGGTGATTTGAAGAAAATATTCCACCTCTAAGGGTTGTAGGGGATGAATGACTTTTGAGGTCGGTTTTTTTAGTACTCTGCTGGTTTCTTATACAAATATCAAGAAGCATTAAAATCGAAATAATTTCTTTTTCATTAAGTGTCTTAAAAAATTTTCATGTGCGACCCCGCATTTGCACTCAATTGTAAAAACTTGTCTAACTAACAATCTAATAAATATTGAATTCTTCGTGCTAAGAAATCGACGTGTCTGCTACAGTAAGATTAGAATGGTCTTGGACACGACAAGATATTTGTCGGCTCTAGCTACGAAAACATGTTGCAGACGAGAAAATGATATATGTATGTATACACAGATGCGAATGCTTTCGGGCTAAGTCTTCCAGGTAGCTGTCGTTTTACTACCGACTGTGGGAAGAAATATGCTGTTGTATATGTTGACTACTAAGCAACACCCGTTAAAGCGCATATAATAGGGGTTAAAGTATGAAATTGCCGATTTGTACTGAAAATC